GTTAGCAAGCTCCTTTTTGTAAAATAATAAGCAAATGTGTTTGTCAAATCTGTGGATAAAAACATTTCCAGAAGAGTTCAATGTTCAGACGAATGTTGTGATATGTGTAAATAATAAAATAAATACTCAACTATAATAAAGTTTGTCTTTAGTTTGACCCTAGCTGGTTACTCTTCCCCTATTGGCTAACTGCTCCGTACCCTCGAGGAAACACTGCTATGCTAAAAGTCAACAAGGCATTCAACACATCAGAGCGTCATTTTACAGAAACTCCCACCGCAGCACAAGACTCGGCCTGCTGCTCCTATACAATGAGCTTTAAGGTAGGACAGATCATTACAGACTTAATATATTTACATTTTACACAAACGTTCAAATGATAGTTTGTATTTCATAAAACATGTCACAGCTTCACTAAACATGCTAAGTATTAGCAACACATGCTAGCTTCACTGACCAAGAAATTTAAAACGCAACATTTTACTGGCTTTAAGAAACTCAAATCTTAAGAAAATGTATAAATTATGAACCATAGTTCCATACCAGTGCATTGCACTTCATTCCCATCACAGAGGAATCAAACAGCAGCTGATGTTCTCATTTACAGTAACAGCTAAACTGTACATAACTAAGCATGGAACATTTATAAAAAGTACAATAAGAAAACACGGTTTGCTTTTTAACTGGCAGGAGGGTAGAAACCTGTGCACAGGTTTCTACTTGCCGACAGGTATTTACACCTGTTCAACCCACGAGGCTTCTTAAAGCTATTCATTCAAACTGCAATTAAAGTCATAGCTTCCCCGGCACTCTTTTCTCTACTCTGAATCCTCCACAGAGGGCTGGCCCACAAACGTGACATCGGCCTGCAGAACAATGCTGCAGATGGCCTGATGTGAGGCGTTGCACGAGACATGTGGGCCACAAGCAGGGAAACAAGAGAGGACAGATTTAGCTCCACCATCATTTCATGCAGCACTGCAACACTTTATGCAGCAGAATGTTCCCTCACCAGCTGGGTATTAATGAAGCAGGACGCACGACCATGCAGTATTTTACCTTCCAAACCATCAGCTAACCTGCTAGTATTTAACAAACTCAGCCAATTGCTGGACCCAAACAGTATTTGACAAGCAGCTTGAATTGATGTTATATTTACCTTTTCTTGCAACAATCACTAAACCCTGGTTGTTGCATGAAAACCCCAAAAAGTGCTTTTCATAGATCAGTGTCTACTTCCTTGTGAACAATAAATATGTTCTGAACTGCCGCATGTTAATATTTAGTGTACACGCACGCACGCACGCACGCACGCACGCACGCACACGCGCACACGCACACGCACACAGTGGATGGATAAATGAATGACTGGATAACTAAGTGATACAGCTGGATGACAGAGATCTCCACAGTGAGTTATAAATCTGGTTTGATCTGCCTGAGCAGACCACCAGCTGACTGACTGCTGTTTAGAAGTGTCTGAGGAGTCGATTGCTGCATTCAAATTAGGGATGCACCGATCAGACTTCTTCCAGTCCTAATACCTGGGCTTCTGGGTATCGGCCTATACCGACTACCGATCCGACACCAGTGTTTGATCAATGAGCTGTGGGCCTCACTATCTGAGAGTGACTGGGATTATCCTATTATGAGTAAGGCAACATAAGGCTTCACATAAACACTGCTTTTAAAAAACAGCTCACAAATATATAGCTTCATTTTTTAAAAAGCTCCGTAATTCCCCAAAAACAGTTGGCCAATGCATCCAACATCTCATCAAGGACTGCAAAAAACAACTTACAGCCAACATTTGGGACAACTCACATGGTTACATAGCGTTTGTCTTATATTCATGGGATGTAAAAAGACTGCAGCTGGGCTTCACATATAGTTTCTGAAGCAATAATGATTTTTTTTTAAAAGAACTATACACTGAAAATATGTGGTGATGGACTCCCGAAGTCTTATCGAGAAACACTACTTGTTACGGAGAAAGGAAGAAGTTAAGCGCCAGTAAAATGGCAAAGCACCGACATCTCATTTGTCTGAACAACTGTCTGTCTTCTGGTTGAGCTCTCTGGATCTCTTATCTAACAGTAGTTCCCGAATGGAGGTCCCAGGACCTCCAGGGTTAAGAGAGGACAGCTGGGTCTGATCTGACCTTCCCGTGATGGGCTGCTGCTTAAATAAGAACACACTTCATTATTTCCTCTCAGAGCCCTTCAGATATTCATCCCACCAGCTGTGCTCATGTCAATTAGTTCATCCTTCCTTTCGCAGTAGTCGTGTCGGGGCAACGGTCCCAGAGGGAGGCTGTGAGATCAGCAAGCTACAGTACGTAGCATGTAATCACAGCGTTATACGTCTCAATCCTTAAATCACATTTCAGTCTGGCTGCAAAACAATAAAACTGACCAAATGTAAAAGACATGATGTCATCGAGTTGAGTTTTTTCCAGCAGCTCCAGTTGAGTCCGAGAACTGAGTTCCAGTGATCCAAGAGTGAGGGATCTTGGTGGGACCTCTTACAGTCTTACAGTAGACTCGGTGGACTCTGCTCTGATGTACAGAAAGATAACATCAATAATAAAGCAATCTGCTGGATCACTGAGCCGACTGATTGGTTCATCAATCACAGGACGCGACCAATCGCACCAGTTTCCCTCCAGTGCACACTTATCACTCAAAGACATGATGGAGGTGAAAACAGCCAAATAAAAGCCTTCACAAAGTGTCAACGTATGCAGTAAAACATAAGTTTCCACTGACATTTTACCTGAGTGGTATGCAGATCTCCACGCTCTGTCACAATGCGGAACAATTCAGGTGAAAATAAACTGTTTCAATCAATTAGAGCAAAGGGAAACTGTAGGCTGGTTGTTGAAGAAACAAACTGCAGACTCGTGTGACAAACAACAGCTGTTACTACAAGAGGAACCTACGGTTAAACCATCGGTTAGGCAAGCCAGGTCTGTGTGTGTGTAAAAAAAAAAAGACAAAGGGTGAATACTCAGCCATTGCCCTTCACCAAACCTAATGTAAACAAAGTTATAAGACTGTATTTATGGGCTAGCTTACGGATGAATGTAAAGTTTAGCCGACGTTAGGGGTGTGCCACATCATATTGATCATGATGATGCCGGTATAATTTTGATGCATATGACAAAATAAATATGAATTCATGTCGCGATAACGGCAATATTCCAAACACGTTGATATAGGCGACACAGCTCCGAATGTTTTGTGAATAACGCCAAACTTTTCAGAGCTTTTAAGCGACCCGCTGCTTAGAGTAATCTCAGTTTGCAACTCTCCCTCGTGTGTGTGTGTGTGTGTGTGTGTGTGTGTGTGTGTGTGTGTGTGTGTGTGTGTGTGTGTGAGAGACTGTGCGATATTCATCGTAACATAACAACCTGTCAGAACTTTGTTTCATTTCAACGCAGTGTTCAGAGTATAAAAGCTATGAGTAGGAATAAGTCTGCTAGCAGCTACGCTAATTTGTGAAGAATAATAGACTTAAGCTAATAGTTGAGACCAGTGACGCTGAGGTTCATGGTTGGCAACTTAACTCCGAGGTCACAGGGAACCCACATTCACTGAATCGTTATTTAAAATGTGACAAATAATTCAAAATATGTTCAATGTGGTTTAATCTGCCCACCCTGTACAGTGACTTACATCTTTAAAAAGTCTTTATCTTAAAACAGGTGTTGCAGAAAAGGGTATTCTTGTATTTCTATTGTGTATTCATTAAACACTTCACACACTTAAATCTTTCTTATATGATTGAGCTCGTTAAATACTGGGCTAGTCAGTGACTGGGTTCATTATACAAAAATACCAGCTCAGCCCTTTTCTGAGCCATAAATAACCTGTGGAGACAGTTTATCCACTTTGAATCCTTAGCGCCAATAAATTAGTGCATGTCAATATACGCATGTGTGTGCTTTTATCGCTTAAGAGAGGAAAGGATGACGCTACTGGTGTCATTATAAATAGCTTATGCTGTGTGTGAGCGTGAGCGAGCACACACACGCACACACACACACGCGCGCACACACACACGGTATTTCAATGTCCCTGCATGCCACATAGTTGGGTTAATCCCCTGGTTGTCTCAGCCTGTTCAACCTGTTCTACAGAGAAACTACACACGCACTGATCTGATTCAGATCTGAGACCTGTGGATTTTAAAAGAAATAACAGGTTGGTTTCCTAGCCAAGGATTAAGTCTAGTCCTAGACTGGACTAAGGACATTCCTCAGTAGATATCTGCATTGAATTTATGTTTAATCCAGGACAAAGTTTAACCCCAGTCAAGAAAATGAGCCAACAATCACAATCACACAAGAATGTGGATGATCAGGATGAGATTTTGCTTTTAGGAGCACTTTGGCAGCCGAACTATGCTACATAACTGCAATGCTCCATCCCCTTTCTCTCTCTCGACAATTGTCTATTTGCGTGACTGCCTTAAAGTATATATTTTTGAAGTGGGTGGAATATAAATCCAGAATCGATCAACTTTACTTTTTTCTTTTCAGCTTTCCTAGCATGAGGACCAGCATCTGTGTCTTTCTATCCATAATCCCTTTGAGTTTTGGATCATTTCCTTTACTCAATGATGCATTAACCTCCAAGTTCAATGTTGGATAGGTCTACAGAAGGAAACACCACAGAGTTTGATGTTTGCCTTCAAACATGCTTGATGTGATCTCACCCTTAAACAAACTGAATCTGTTCAGGCCTGAGCAGAGTTCACACTCGGGAACAGGTCTTGCTTCAAGGTGTTAGGATGTAAAACAGAACATGTGTGATGGAGACAGAGCTGCAGGCCATTTAAATAAGATTTTGAGGTGGTCATTTGTGAAGTTACGGTCCACGAGGCTGTCATAAAGGCTTGCCTGCTCGAGAATTATGGAAAACATGACAAAAGGGCACTCCTGTTGAAGGAAAATACAGGAACAAAATGTCAGGTCAGCAACAATCATCCTCTCTTACCTTGCCGGCCTTGTGGTCGAACCAAACCAGGGCATGATTCCTGGACAGCACCTTGCAGTCAAAGGTGGCGTTGTTCTGGGCCGGCCGACACCGAGCCACCGACCTGCCGATCTTGACTGGCTCATCCAGGTACACATGCCGCTCCTGGAATGGGTGCGAGTTGGGTCGGCAGGCAAACACGGCCAGCGCCGAAGGCATTGATTTTGGCTTAAGAGTGTTACTCCAACCGGACACGGGGGGCAGGTTTTCTTGATCCAGAGTGGCAGTCTTCAGTTACAATCCACCAATGAATAAAAGTACAATATCTGTTGCCTATATGTGTAGGCAGAACTGTCAGTCCTTTTAAGTTCCTAGGCACTAGCTAATAAACATTGTCCACTGTGCACAGCCCGGGCTGCACTGCTTTCCCACTTCGATTCACACTCCTGTGTTTGAAACAAATGAAAATAAAAAACAAACCAACAGGTATAAAAAAGACAAGACATTCCCCTCACTGACTGTGCACCAAAACTACATAACGATACTTATATATATATATATATCTGACAGCAGGCACTATGCACAGACCAGGGTGCCATGTGTCAAGACATACATGACTGAGTATTATAGCACTGACAGCCTGGAAAACAGCCTCCCACGTCCATCAAACTATTCCGGCACTGAAGAAGCAGGCAAAGGGAACAGTTAACAATATTATTGCGCGCTTTCGAGCAGTGTTAAGTCTTGTCTGTGCAACACGCCAGTCGGCTTACACACCGCTTAGTAACGTGTCGTCTTGTAATCTATTCGTCATTTACAGCTATAATAATCTGAATGACGCTGTTTACCCTGATACCTTAGCTTAGCTACCTAGCGCCACCACTCCCTCTACCAGAACACCTGTAAGGTCGCTAACGACTAACTAGCAAAAAAACATCCTTGAGTTATTTATCATTTACGGTCAATTAGGCTAACTAAAGCGGTTCTTGGTCTGATATCAGTTAGTGCAGACGCGTCAAAAAACACTCATGAACGAGGGATAAGCACAGGTCTTCTTGTGCAACTAAAATGCTAATTGGCTAGCTCGCAAAACGGACGGGGCAAAGCTAGCGCTAACTCTCTCGGCCAACGTTTTCTGGCGTTGAACCAAGTAAGCTAGGCTAGGCTAGGCTAATGAGTGCCGACAAAACTTATCAACCAGGTGCCCAAATGTTTTCTCCCCACACCCCTCTCAACCAGTTCGCTTACCGGGATGGAGGCGAAATGCCATCCCCTTGTGTCTCCTGGGAGCAAAATAAAAGCAGCAAGCTAGCCCGCCTTTTTTTGAGCTACTACGGAGCCCCTGCAAGCGAATGTTAGCATGAAACGGTGGATGAGCTAACGAGCTAGCAGGTAGCCGGCTAGCTAACTGACAGTCAGGGGAGTTTCTTGACTGCGGGTCCTCACGCGCATCACACAAGCTCCAGGTTATCTTCCAAGGAAAAAAAAAACTCCGTAAAAGCCACAAGTTGAGCGCGGTCGTCGTCGCGTGTGTCTCAGTTCCAGGTCGTGTTTTTTACCGAGACGGTTGAGTTTTAAAGCCGCCGCTTTCCTACAGTTTTCCGGGAGGAATCTATAAGAAGTTGTTCTCCTCCTCCGCAAGTCCAAGCGGCCATACTTGTAACTAGAGAGCAGACAGACAAGGCGAGGTGCGTTCACGGACCGAGTTACATCAACTTACACCGATGAGCTCATTATGTCAGTAGACTGTAAAAAAAAACAAAAAACGTAGAGATTAACGTTAAAATATTTGCAATTAATTTGGTTTAAACGAATATCATAGAAGTATGGAAGCCCATTTCTGCCAGCAAAAAATAAATGAAAATAAAGTTATTATTTATTTTATTTTTTTTAATTTACAAAAATATATATACAAGAAAATAAAAGTTGTTTTAGAAAGAATAAAACCGATATATAATTATATAATTCATTTTTATTCTTGTTTTTTTGTAAATTACAAATAATAATAATAATAACTTTACTTTTTGTGATTTTTTTATTGATTTTCTGTGATTTTTTATAGATTTTTTATTGATTGTTTATTGATTTTTTATTGATTTTTTGCTGTCAGAAATGGACTTCCACATAAAGCCTTTTTTGTGGTATGAAAAAAAAAAAGTTGGAAATGATGAAGAAAAATACTCAAACAATAATTTGAATTACTAAATCAAGATCTTGAGATATTAAATAAAAAATGATTACTTAAAAATGAATAGTCAGATGTTTGGAAAGTAAACTCGCTTCAACTTGTTTATTTAGTGTACTTTAAAAAAAAATATTATTAGCTTAATACTTTACTTCATTCCCAGCCTTCGTAAATACATACCACATCCAAGTATTTTGGATAATATGGTATTTAAATTATAATGTTAAAAATGTAACTGAATTATAATTAAAAATATATCGCACAATATATTAACTGTAATAACTACAAATATAATATGATTTTAGTCCACAGCTATAACAACAGGATAAATAATGCCCATTATTTAATCACAGACTGTAGGCTCTTTGTTATGAACAGGAAATAAAAAAAACGTCACAATTTACTTAAATTTGACTTTGTAAATAATTTAGATGTATTACAAATGTCAAAGCAATACTTTAATATTACATGATTTTTTGGGGGATTTTTCAAAATGAACAAAAGCAAATTATACAATGAAAAAAATAATATATATATATATATTCAGCCTACCTGACTCTGGTGTGGACACTAGATGGCAATAAAACAAGGCCTTTTTTGGGGCTTTTGTTGTATGATATTAATTCATAATTCCAGACACAATAAAAAGGTTTTCTCGAGGTTTTCCCATTGGAATGTCACTAAAGTTATTATTACTCTGGGATTTGGGGCTATAAACACAGGGAGTGTACCTTTGAACTGTTTTTAAACGTACCTGTTTTTGTCTTACGGTACCTTTTCATATTCGTGATACTATTAATACGAACACCAAATGACAATATTTTACATTTACATCATAGGGTTTTGTCCAGGTGTCTTGATTTACAGCCTGGGGCAGCAGGGTGGGGTGGAGTGACGTGGGAGGAGATCAAATTCTGCTTGTGGCTCCAGAAACGTCCCCGCTGTGTTCTGGTGAACCGACAGCTGAGACCAAATCAATGCTGGATGAGACAGTAGGACATGAAGTGTGGGAGGAGAAAACACCACAGGACATCACTTTGGTTTAATCCGTTCATTTTGAACAGGAGATTTAAAAATGATAATAATAATTAATCGTTAATGTTTCCAGTTTTGTGCATCTAAAGCAAGCTGTTCTCAACCTTTGTTTAAGCACAGATGAACCAAAGTTCAGAAAGTTTTCTTTGTCAGAGAGACATTCTGCTTCACGAATATGTTAAATAAGAATATAATTCAACTATTGAGACTTTTAGCGGCAAGAACAAAATAATAATCATTATAGCTGCGAGCTGCTGAACTGTGGCTTCAGTATTTTATAAACTAGTCAGAAAGGGATGAAATTATTTTAGCAGTTTTGCTCAGAATTTACTGATTGATGGTTACATTTGAAACAATTCACCCGCATATTAAAGCTGTTTCATAAAATGGAGTTTTGAGATTCAGATTGTTGCCTCAGCACCACCATTGGGAAATAGTTCCCACAATCTTGGCAGAGACCGGACCTCTATGCAAAGCGATGTAGTACTTTATACCATCGATATTAATGCACAGTTGTCTGTAAGATACATTTTTCCTGGCAACCTGACCACGATGACAAGTTACTGCTGACCTTAAGACAAGACTTCACACAGTTACTGCTTTAGAGGTGCTAATAGGCAGATTTTCTGAAGTTTGGACTGAGCCGGTCTGGCTCTTTCCAATCCCTCTGGATGCTTCACGCAGCTTCACATTTACTCTGTACACATGAGAGTGATATCAAACCTCTAATCAAGAAAAAAAAGTATGATGAAAATAACAATAATGATACATATACGAGCATGTACTCCTGAAGGAGGTCTTGGTGGATCTGAGGGGCCTGAGGGGTCACTGCAGGTTTCATTTCAGGATCAGCCTGATTATCAGCCGGTTCAAAATATACCAGAGCCAAGGACGAGCCAAGGACTGAGCCACGAATACAAGACTGTCAAGATCAACCAGAGGTGTAACGTCAGACCGTAACATTGTTCCAAAGTCTTGAAGTTTTACTGTAACTTGCTGGTCCTTGTCCTGGTCCTGGTATTGATCCTGGACCTGGTATTGATCCTGGACCTGGTATTGATCGTGGACGTATAGTCCCTGCAGCCATGCCCAGCCCCCCTGCAGAGCGAGCAGAGGACCAGCTGTCGCTGCACTAACAGTCTGACTATAATTTGAGATTTAACGGCATCTTACTGTGTTTAGCTTCTTTGCCCTGTTTGACATCACAGCGTCCAATTAAACAAGAAGCTGTTCGTTGGAAACAAGCGACTCACAAAAAGATAAACTCCATTTAAAAAAATTATTTAAACACATATTTATAAATGCAGTGGTGCCTGAGTGTGATGTCATCAGCTCAACAATAATTTAAAGTCGTGATACATTGTTGTATTGGAATTTAATATGAACGGTGATGTGATATTGTTTAATCGTGTCATCATATTATTGTTAAATTAAGATTAATTCATTTGTCTCTCTACATATTTTACACATTTGTTTAATATGTATTGATATACATTATATTTGTATTTCTACTGTAAACTCAAGTGTATTTTGTCATGTTAACCATTAATTAAATATCGTTTTTCTCAGGACTAGGGGTATAAAACCATACGGAACAGAAAGATAATATACACACTAGGTTAGTATTATATTTACTATTAGTATACTGTAATACAGTGTGAGTCATTTAACAAATATAGTTACATTTATAGGAACTAATGTGATAGATTTGTGTATGTTTGCCTGCACTACGGTGGGTTTGTGTCACAATCAACAGGGTGTTTGTACCCCTCCTCTCTGTGAGCACCCCCACTCTGTTTCATCCATCTGTTTGTTCAACGATGGAGCTTTTAGAGGATTTAGATAAAGCTGATTTACTCCTTTTTTTCCTGAATCACACTTTAGAGTCGGGCTGTAATTAAAGAAGTAATTCACTCAATTGATAGCAGCAGAATATAGATGAAATATTGAATATATTGAAATACGACAAAAAGGTCAGAGTGGAAACAGAAGGGACTTTACAATAAATACGTTTTAAAGTAACAACATGTCAGTAAAGGTTTAACAGTTTTATGAATTCTAGTTCTGACACACACACACACACACACACACACACACACACACACACACACACACAGGAAGTTACTTGTGGATATTTGGACTATTGACACTTGTTTAACGAGACTGATATAATTGTGGACTGTTGCAATGAGTAACAGGACATTGTAATTTGTTTGTGTTGATGAAATGGTTTTCTTTTAAAAAGTGAACACATTAAAGTGTGTATGGTATGATAGAAATAATTTTAGGTTTATTTATTTTGTCCTTAATTGTGGTTGAAAAGTGTTTTGGAAGATAAATAATCTGCTCTCAATGAGGTTATTCCTTAGAATTATTTTATCATCTTAAAAAACATTTTACCTCGCTGTTTTGTCTCCATATGCTCTATTTTTTATTTTATTCTATTCATATTACATCTTTTTACAAAGACCTACGTCTTATTATTTATTTCCTTTATTTTTTCTATTTATCTGTATTTCTGCTGCAACAATCTTATTATGATTTTGAAAGTCAAAAGTTTGACATACATATTATTTCCCAATGCTGATGATAAACATAAGACACTGAACGTCTCATAAAATGAATTCACTTGAACACAACCCAGTGCCGGGGACGACCTTACGCGATGACGTCACATCATCACGTCGTATACGTACGCTCCCCTGCTCCTGTGCTAACTGCTAGCTAGCTAGCTACTTTCCGTAGCTCTGCACGCTTTATGTTGTTGTAACCTGAGCACTAACTCGACATACCAGTCAACAAAAAAACAACCGTTAGCGTCCTCCGGAGCCTTTCCGAGTGCACGTTACGTGTCGAGCCGTCGCCAGCCATGGCTCTACAAGGCCCGGAGGAGATGGTCGAAGAGCCGGAGGACCTGGACGACCAGGACGCTAGCAGCATCTCTCCGGCCGAGGAGATAACGCTTCCTCCCGGGCCCGGAGGCGAAGACGAGCCGGAGGAGGCTCTGCTGCTGCCCTGGGACCGCTTCTCCACCTGGCTGCACTGCATCTGCGTGGTCGGCTTCGACCTGGAGCTCGGACAGGCGGTGGAGGTGAGAGGCAGACTGCATGATCCTCCGGGGAAAAGCTCTAGATTATAGCTAAAAAAAAAGCTTAGGTTAGCAGTTATTAAAGGGCTCAGACTACTTCCTGGAGTGGAGCACATAAACATCTCAATGGTCCCTGTTGTTCTTTAGTCTTAACAGTGCTCACGTGTGTGTGTGTGTGTAAACGCACAGATATAGAGGATGTAGAGGAACAGTATAACTGCAGAATAACGATGTCATTACCTAATAACATAGTTTATCGTAGTCTGGGTGAATCGTGTGTGTTGTCTCTTCCCTGGAGTTAGTCTGTTCCAACAGCATCAGCTCAGCTGCTATCTCAAATGGAGGTATTTTTGCTGGAAACTTGCTGGAAACTTTTAGGCCTTAAACTCGAGGAGTTGAGCAAGGCATCAGTGGCATTGGATGGTTTGAATCCAACACAACAAACACCGGTTGATCTGGGTTCAGGATCCTGCAAGTCTTTCACTTTCTCTAAGGAACCGAGCAACACAAAAACTTAAAATTATTATTATTTTTCATCTTAAGTGTTTGTTTTTTTGATTTTTCTGGTTGAATAAAGTAGTTTCTGAAATGCTTCTGTCTCTGCAAAATAATGTGCAGTCAGATCATTATAACTTTATCTCAAGTTCCTTGAAGCCATAACTTATCATTACCAAAATCGTACTAAAGAGTAAGTTAACAAAACTACAAAGTCTGACCAGACATTTGAACTTTTAGTAGTTTACAGTGATCCGTTCTCTGCTTTGAACACATTTCAGTCATTACCTTTATGCCGTTATTATTATTATTATGTTATCTAGATATTTATTTCATGATAAAAAGTACAATGAATTAATCGCACAAAAAATAATATTATATCAAAATTTGCATCCCCTTTATACTTGTTATACTGAAAAAACTAGCCAGTACTCAAAACAGTTACAACAAAATATCTAAGCACAAAATAAAAATGTGTTTTATTATAATTTGGTGACACAAAGTATTGGACCAGGTGACAGAAAGTGCTGATGTTTCTGTTTCTCTGGAGCTGAACAGAGCTTTTAGAAGTGGGCTGATGAGCTGTGTGGTAACTCTGTTCATGTGTCTTCCAGGTTATTTATCCTCATCATTCCAAGCTGTCAGAGAAAGAGGTGAGGATTTTAACTACGTTCATTTTTAAGATATTTAACATGCTTAAATACAGCCGTCACATGCTGCTGGTAAATGATGTACACTAAATCCTAGAACATCGTAGAAGTTCTTCATTATAATCCTTAAATTCCTTCTGTTTCCTATCAGTTGTGTTTCATTTGCGTCACTGAATCAACCTGAGATGACACGATAAAGTGGACGAAAAACAAACTAAATCTGTTTCTCTTTCAGAAAACAAGCATCTGCTACCTTTCCTTCCCCGACTCCAACTCAGGTGAGTTCCTGTCTCCTCACCTCCTCAGCTCTGGCCAAGCTGTGTGTTAAGAGCGGTGAACGTGTTGTTTTTTAGATTTTGAAGTTGCAACATCAAGGTGGTTTCAGACTTATATCATGCTGGTAATAATAATAGTAATAAACATTATTTGTATAACATCTCTCATCATACAAAACATGCAACACAAAGTGTTTTCCAACAAAGAAAATGGAGATAGGAGCATAAAAACAGGGAAAATAAGATGAAAACAAAACACACTTGATAAAATAATAAAGATATTCAATAATCAGCAGCCATATTTGCAGCATACACATCAGTAAACACAGCAGCAGCATCAACATGTCTCCTTTCTCTTCTACGCTGGTCTTATGATGGTGGATTACATTTTTTTTTAAATTAATTTTGCCTCCAGTTCAGTCTCCACCAATCGGCGTCTAGACACCGAGGTTATAAATAAACACAACAGAACCTATTCCCAACAGAAACAAACTCACCACCGGTCTAGAATTACCGCTGCTGGCGACCTTTAACCCTTCGGTTTGCACCTGTCAGATAAATAGAGCAGGGCTTGGTTTTTGTTTTTTTTACTCATTTATAATTCTGCAAATGTGAATCCTGAAGAGATTCTCTTGTTTCTGGAACATCACCTGGAAGCTCCGGTTTCAGTCGTCGCCTTTTTAATTTGTGTTTTAATTATAATTGTTTGGTGCTGCAGACGAGGTCAGGGGACCATTCTGAAAATTGTCCTTGTCATTAGTGTAATGCTAGACTGAGAGATAAAGTGGTTTAGGGATTAGTACACACACACACGCACACACAGGCACACACACACACACACCTATGTGGAATCACTTGTGTGTTTCTCTGCAGGTGTGTGTGCTTTGGCTGTGAGTCAGCAGGCGGCAGAGCTGACAAACCTTCTGCAGGATAACAAAAAGATTAGGACATAATGCTCACAGGCCTTCTATATGTATATACTATATATATATATATATATATATATATATATATATATATATATATATATATATATATATATACTGTATATACTAGGTGTGTGTGTGTCAGACAGAGAGAGAGAGACATTAAACTGCAACTCTTCAAATCCACTTTGGCTCTTGTTCCTGAGAAAAGGATCAGAGAGAAGTAGTGACACATGATTAGTTGTGTTGTGTTCTCCGGCACACAAGAGTTAAAGTGAAACAGGGACTGAGGTCAAAGTGCTGACTCAGCTCTAATCCGTGGGCGTAAACGTCCACATCAGACGGAGAGAGAGCGGAGGAGTGTTAGAGGTGGGAACAGAACCAAAACAGCAACAGAAATAAGATTTAATAAATTCTGAAGGTGCTCGCTATATTCAAAAGAGTGTTTTTGGATTTCCCACCTGAAGACCTTTGACCCTAAAGGCCTCAATGTAGACTTTCACTTGAAACCCTTTATTTACCTTTTATTAAAACCTTTATTTACAGCTCAAAGTCAATTATACAAATTGTTTTTGACGTCAATCTTGACATACGCCAAACAATTTTTGCAAAATCTTTTCTGGTTCCAGCTTCTCAGTTGTGAACATTTGCTGTTATTTATTGTCTTATCTGACAGAACAATGAATGTCTTTGTCTTTTTTTAACTGTTCCTCCAACAACAAGTCATTTAAAGACTGTTGGGAAACAGATGTTGGCATTTTAAACTTCAGTATTTCAAAACCAATCCGTTTATTTTGAATAATGAATTATGAAAATAGGATTCAGATAATGACAACAACCAATCCAGAAATTCTTAAAATCCTAAAATTTGTGATCATGAATATTAAGATTATTGTTTCAGACATTTTATCCACAAATCAAACATCTTGTGATTCATGAAAATACGGACACAGTTCTTACAAACCTCCTGGTGTTTCATTCTGTGATGATGAAGACTTCTTCTTCTCTTCGCTGCGTCCAGCTGGGTCCCAGCTTCAGATGCAGTGACTCACAAAGAGAACAGAAACACACATGTAATGAAGAGGTTCAGACCGAGAGTCAGAGCGTCTGAGGGCTCGTTTCACGCTGGGTGGCCTCGAACGCAACACGACCGCATGGTGTCATGGAGTCTTGGCTGAGCTCTAGGAAGTGTGTGTGTGAGTGTGTTTGTGTGTGTCCTATGAAGTGGAATGCTTTAAAGGGAGTGTGTGTGTGTTGTATGTGGCGTGTTTATCACTCTAACTTTCCTTCTCACACTCTCCTGGTGTGTCTGCTGGAGGTCATGCAGAGATTAAAGGCCGGTTGGTGACTCATCGGGCGCTTCCTGTTTCGTCTTTTTTTTCCTGCTTCCTCTTCCTATTTGTCCCGAAAATTTAGGAGGAAACCAGGAAGACACTGAGTCGACATTTAAAATTAAAAGAATAACACTTCTGAATCAAAGCAAAACAGTTTTCTATAACTTCCACCTTTTGAATTGCAGAAGTAGCTGCAGTGAACTGGCTTCATATTTAACCTCAGACTTCAGAGGGTGGAGGTTCAGACACGATCCAAACCTCCACACACACACATTACCGTAAAGTCCGTGAGGGTTTCGGGCCATCGCACCGTCAAATCGTCGAGTGTTTTAAGTCTCTCGCAGACATTTTATGCCCTTTATGGACACTTTCCGTAAGCCCGCATTTCTGTAGATTTTGCCTCAGGGGATTACCCACAATTCATAGCAATGTGACGTTAAACACGGGGAAGCATGGAGACGTTAAAAGAAAAGGTAAACAAAGAGGATGGCACATGTGTGTTCAGCCTGTCTTACTCAAACATTAAGGATTAAAGATAGATAAGATAAGATAGATAAAAAGTATAAAATAATAACATTGTATGCAGCCTCTCACACTCAGGGTTTAAGGCTTCATATTGGGGGACATTGGGATTATTATATTATTATTATAATTGGGATAACTTTTATCTTTAAAGATCTCTGTTTCGTTGCTCTTTGGCGGCCCCCTGTGGTGATGAGCAGTAACTGCAGCTGAGTCTTTGGTCTCCTGTGTGACGTCAGTCAGTTGACTGTTTGTCTTCTTTACATTTGCTCTTGTTTCAGAAGTTGAACTGTCTGTAGTCATCACTCTGTTCTTTACAGGAGTAAAGGTTTATTCTCAGACACTTAGGGAGAATTACAACAGTCCAAACGAGAGGAAATAATAGCATCACAACAACATCACTCTGTTGTTGTTTACAGGTTGCCTTGGCGACACACAGTTCTGCTTCCGCTTTCGTCAGGTTTCAAACAGGAAGTCGTCACTCGGCTGCTTCCTTGAGACCAACGACCGGGACGCACCGCCCTGTCTGAAGGTCAGGACGTACACACACACACTAACACACCCACACACACATACAGACTCTCACTCTCTCACTCACCCACCATCTGGTTTAGTGATATAAAACTCAGGTGTGTGTGTGTGTGTGTGTGTGTGTGTGTGTGTGTGTGTGTGTCTCTCTCTCTCTCTCTCAGAGGGAACAGGGCCATTACTATGGTTACGTGTACTTCCGTCAGGTCCGAGACAAATCCCTGAAAAGAGGATACTTCCAGAAGGTCAGAGCCAGACTGCTATAATAATAATAATAATAATAATAATTATATCATAATTACTGATGGTATTAAATCTTTAAGTATGTTTATTGATGCGTGTGTGTGTGTGTGTGTGTGTGTGTAGTCTCTGGTCCTGATCAGTAAGCTGCCCTACGTGACCTTCTTCCACTCCCTGTTGAAGATCATGGCTCCAGAATACTTTGAGAAACAGGAACCCTGTCTGGAGGCTGGTCAGTGTGACTACCTCAAATACCTGTCTGTCTCTCTACCTGCCTGTCTGTCTGACTACCTCAACTACCTGTCTGTCTCTCTACCTGCCTGTCTGTCTGACTACCTCAACTACCTGTCTGTCTCTCTACCTGTCTGTCTGTCTGACTACCTCAACTACCCGTCTCTCTCTATCTACCAGGCTGACTCTCTCTCCCTCCCTACCGTCTGTCCCAACCTATCTACCTATCTACCTGTCTGTCTGTTACTCTACCTCCAGTCTGTCTCTCTACCTGTCTGTCTGTGTGAGTAAGTGTTTTTATACTTTTTATACTTAATCTTGTTCATTTTTTCTCTCTCCTTGTAAACTACAGTTATAGTTTTTAGTGATGTATAAACTTCTCTCAACATGTTTCTGAAAATGTTTGAACTGAATCGTTAAATAAACAACTTCATGAAAGTGGGATTTGTTGCAGAGCAGTTGTACAGACAGTTGTATTAGACTGCATTGAGTGTGTGTAGATAAACTTTATTTACTTTCTCTCTGTAAAGCTCTGAGCGGCCGCAGTGTTGATCTATTCTGATCCAGATCACTGTTTGTGTGTTTGATTGACAGCTTGTAATGACATAGACCGCTGGCCGACGCCCCATCCGGGACGAATTCTCACGCTTCCCATTATGGGCGTGGTCATCAAGGTACACACACTCACACACACACTCACTGGGTAGGCGTCAGTAGGTGTTTCAGTGTGACTTGTCAAAGCAGCGCTCTACAACTTCAATGTGAAACCGTCATTATTCATTTTCCCTTTTACTTGTTATTGTAGTCTTTTTAAACTTTATATTTAAATATTTTTGGTGCTGTACATTGTTGTTCCACTTACATGATTTCTCTTTATATATTTATACATTTTTTTAATATATATCTGGAAGAGCACATTGGGGGGAGCCTGGGATCTAATAATGTGATTGACCAACAAAGTGTACATTTCAATAGAAATAACATTTTGGAGCATAAAACGAGTAATTTGATGCTCAAAATACTTTGACTGTGTCCTCGTGTAAAGAATCACCTGGATGAAAAACAACTATGACTTGTTCGCTACCGTCCTACGTTTGATGAAAGCCTTCAGAAGCAGTGTAGAGTTCATACTCTCAGTAATAATCTGTGTGCTGCTGCAGATTAGAATCCCGACCTGCTACGACAAACCAGGAACCTCCCAGCTGGTCCAGTCGGCTCAGGTGACCACACGCAAACGCATACAGAATATATTAATATTAAATATAATGTTTTGATTAATTTGCATTGAAAACGTGATTATGTGCTTGCTTCCAGAGTGACAGTCAGGTGTCCATCGTGCTCCCGACCATCCATGAGGTGGACCTCTTCAGGTGAGACCTGCAGCTGTTTTTTCCTTCCACGCGACACACCAGCTTCTGTCACCGCCTGCTGTTTGAGGGCAGTACTGCAGCACTTCTCTCTGCTGCCGCTGCCTCTGAAAACAGGTGTGCAGCAGTTTTGCTACGGTTTTCGGGGCTTGAAAGACACCGATACCACTGTACTGCCAGATCCCAGTACATAGTATGTCAAATACAGTTTTCCAAAAGTACCGGGATGTTCTAGTACATTCCTGTCGCATTTTACAGCATGCAAGCGTAAAATGTTAGATGTTGGATCACCATCCTTATCTCTGTTACTCTGGACGGGTTAGGGCAGTGACGGTAACATTGAGCGTATTTTCTAGTATTAAACAGGTTTAAATACATTCTTCTGTTCATCAAAAAGCAGCACAAAGAGTGGCCCTTCTCTGCTGCCGTAGTTGCAGCTTGGGTGACACATCAGGGTGTTCGACGCGCCACTGTTAAATGTTTTTGTTTTTTGTTTTTTTCGAGGATGTTCATGCGCCTTGTCAACCAAACCACCTTTCTTTTTAAACCTGCCAAAATATATTATTTTTTTGTACGGGAGAAAATAAAGACGGAAGTTTCCTTAAACGTCTGCTTTTCAATATTCAGTTTGTGTTTATAAAATGTGATTGTTTATTTGTTTAGTTAGTGTCCGTATTCACAGAACTCACAGGGTCAGTGTGACCGTCATGAGTAGTCACGCTGATTATGGAAAGGTTTGCAGCATCACCGTGTTGACTTAATATAATAACAGCTGACTGCTCACCTTCAGGGTTATTTCTTTATTTTGTCCTTTATCACAGGAATAAAAATAATAAAACTAGACGTAACGAAGAGGATTTGGAAACTTAAAAATGTGTATTCAGAATAATTTGTCAAATAAAGACCAATAATAAAACTCCACTGAGACAGACTCCTCAGTCTAATGTTCCCATGTCCAAAGAAGATGATCAGCCATCTACTCCAGTAAGATGGTCTACTTATGAATCTTATGTTTTCAGGTCATTTTAATACTTTTGTGAAAATCCACCAGAGAAGATGAGTTGTGCTGAAGAAAGTGAAGTAAATCTGTGTGAACAGCGTCACTATAAAGAGACTATAAACTCTAAACCTCAACTTCTCTCCTTCTCCAGGTGTTTCTATCCGGTCTTCTTCCACATCCAGATGTTGTGGGAGTTGGTGTTGCTGGGGGAGGCACTCGTCGTCATGGCGCCGTCGCCAGCCGAGTCGTCGGACACCGTGCTGGCGTTGGTCAGGTGAGGGGGGGGGGCAGGTTATGTTATGTAAAATTCAATGTGTTCTGACTTTATGTCTTTAAGTCACGGAGAACATGTGACATATCTTAAGTTGAGATTTCAACGTCTCGAAAGTCTTCAAACAATAAAGATGTCTCTCTCTGTCTGTCTCTCTATCTCTGTCTGTCTCTCTCTCTCTCTGTCTGTCTCTCTCTCTGTCTCTCTCTCTCTGTCTCTCTCTCTCTCTCTCTCTCTCTCTCTCTCTCTGTCTCTCTCTCTCTCTCTCTCTCTCTCTCTCTCTCTCTCTCTCTCTCTCTCTCTCTCTCTCTCTCTCTCTCTCTCTCTCTCTCTCTCTGTCTCTCTCTCTCTGTCTCTCTCTGTCTCTCTCTCTCTCTCTGTCTCTGTCTCTCTATCTCTCTCTCTGTCTCTGTCTCTCTCTCTCCCGTTCTCCCTCCACAGCTGTATCTCTCCTCTGCGTTTCTGCAGTGACTTCCGGCCGTACTTCACCATCCACGACAGCGAGTTTAAGGAGTACACGACCAGGACTCAGGCTCCGTGAGTAAAGACGAACCAGAAGAGCTGTGTGGCCCTTGAGCAAGTCAAGTTTTACCTTATTTCGGAAAGGACAATATTCCTATGAAGTTGTTTACTTGGCTAATGAAAATGTATTTTCCAGTTTACTTGCAGCTGTGCATATTAACCAAGATTAACGTAAAAACACTGTAAAGATCTCACCACTCTCTGTAGTCATAATTCCTCTAAAATATTTAAGGTGGTCTTGCTCACGTTAGCTTCTGGCTCCTTTTTGTTGCTGTAACTGCGAACAGAGATTTGTTAGTGTTCGTCTGAGTTGATAATTGTTGCGTCTCTCTCTGTTCTCTCTCCGTCTTCAGGCCGTCGGTCATTCTGGGAGTGACCAATCCCTTCTTTGCTAAAACCCTGCAGCACTGGCCGCACATCATCCGCATCGGAGACATGAAGCAAGCAGGTGGGTGACACTGCTGCTGCTGGAATGTGATATTTGTCTGAAATGAAAGTTCCTTGTAGTAGCTTTGAGTGAAGGATCTGAATATACAGTATATGTGATGCTGAATTACTGTTCAGCTGTAAGTCAGACATCAGGTGACGCATTGTAAAAACATGTCTGGTCTTTCCTCTCCATCTGTCTGCTCCTCTCAGGAGAGATGGCCAAGCAGATGAAAGTCAAGAAACTGAAAAACCTCAAAACTCTGGACTCCAAACCTGGTAAATGCTTCACAGCCTCCGTGTTTATTTCTCAGTATCGGTGCTTCTTTGTTTTTAATGTCAAGCACCTCACAGAGCCGACCTGCAGCTCTCTCACAAGCTCACATCCACAGTTATGAGGAGTCACTGTCAGACCAGCTGAACACTGACTGTTTGTGTGCGTGTTTGTGTGTGTGTGTGTTTTACAGGTGTGTACACTGCATATAAGCCGTATCTCAACAAAGATGAAGAAATCATCAAACAGCTTCAGAAGGTAAGAACCGGTCAATGCGCTGCACACGTCTGAACTCGCTTTATTGATTGACTGATTGGAGCCATTTTCCATTAAACTTCATGGGGGTAACAACAAAGACTGTATACAAGAAGTGGACGTAGTCACCGTGAGGTCACCCATTGGTTTGTGGACTGTTCTTATGAAGCCTCGGGTTCTGGCCTTTGGCCGTCGCCATCTTGGCTTTTTGCAGCCAGAAGTGACAGAAGACGAATAAGACATTTATAGGAGACCAAAATGTTACTGTTAACTTTCATGAACTGAAAACACTCCGTGAAAGGATTAAAGTTGTAAGACGAAAACACGGACAACTCCCAGACCGGACAACATCGTGGTAGCGACCTGTCAGCCCCGCCCTAAAGCATACCCTGCTTTATGGTGTATTTGACTCTAAATGGGACCATAATTTATGAAATGGGAGAAGCTTTGAGAAAGGTTTTTGTTCTTCGTAGTTTTTTAAATGCTACCAAACTTCTACTGAGAAGTGTACTTGAACTAGAAGCATCGCGACTCTCCAACGTCGATTGTTTGCTGCTTCAAAATGTGGACAACTGAGAGCAGTGTAATGTTTGATAATGAAGATTTTTTTATTTAATGATGATATTTTATTTGTCTGTTTTCCAGGGTGTCCAGCAGAAGAGACCCTCAGCGGCCCAAAATGCAATTCTTCGACGCTACTTTTTAGAACTGACGCAGAGCTTCATGATTCCACTGGTAACAAGCGAGGATTTTTATTTTATCTTTAAGTTTATCAAGATGGTTTTGTTCTTGTCTTGTTTGTCAAAATATATGTTTATTGTTATGCATCAAATTACCAAGGAAAATGTGTCCTTTTTAATATTCAAGAATCCTTTATTGTCATTATACGACACAGTGATGCAAAAGGAACTTCATTTGTAACACAACAAATACATGACGAGCAAAACAAAACGTTCCTTTCACTGTATGTGAAAACTTACTTGACAATAAAGCTGATTCTGAAGTTATTTAAGTGTGTGTGTGTGTGTGTGTGTGTGTGTGTGTGTGTGTGTGTGTCACAGGAGCGGTACGTGGCCAGTCTGATGCCTCTCCAGAAGTCCATCAGTCCCTGGAAGAGTCCTCCTCAGCTGCGACCGTTCATCCAGCAGGACTTCATGAAGACGCTGGAGAAGGCCGGACCTCAGCTCACGTCCAGACTGAAAGGAGACTGGATTGGACTCTACCGGTAAACACAACACTAACCAACCCAGCATGTGTTATAAACACTATTCACAGCTAACTTTACCACCATGACTTTTGATAGCAGAGCAACACATTAATGCACATCAGCCTCATGTGGACTCATCATGATGGGGTTTTTTGTTTTTCTGCGTCTGAAGGAATTTCCTCAAGTCTGCCAACTTTGACGGCTGGTTCCGCAACAGGAGGAGAGAGATGACCCAGAAACTGGAGGCTCTGCACCTGGAGGCGCTGTGTGAGGAGGTGAGGAGGGAGGGAGGAAGTGTGAAGGTCAGATGCAGTCAGAGTCGTTCTGTAAACCTGAACTGATGTTTCAGACTTTTTCCCAGACTTTTCAAGTTGTTGAGGCCTATCTGACGAAATCAGTTGACACGTTTTGCCCCAAATTGTTCTCTCACCTCTGGATTACACCGGGCACAGCTGTAAAAATATGTTTTGACGGAGACATGATGCGGTTGCACAGAGCAGACCGAGCCGGCCGGACGATATATAACTAACAGGCATTGAATCTGAATTATAGATACAAAAAAACAGCCACAAATGTTTAATCCATGTTGTTCGTAGCTGGACTTTTAAGGGTATTAACTTTCTGTCAGTCTACAGAACAACAAAGTAGGAAATAACAACAAACACAATCACAACAGAAAGAAAGACACCGTTTAGAACACTACGTAGCTCACTTACTTCCTTGTGCTGGAAGCACAAATATCAATATGGTGGAAACCAGTAACGATGTAAATGAATGGAGGGTGTCTTCATTTATTTAGGCTTGGACATGTCTCATCCTGTCTGTCTGTGTCTGTCTGTCTGTGTCTGTCTGTGTCTGTCTCTACCTGTCTGTGTCTGTCTCTACCTCTCTGTCTGTCTCTCTGTGTCTGTCTCTCTGTGTCTGTCTCTCTGTGTCTGTCTCTACCTGTCTCTGTCTACCTGTCTCTGTCTCTCTGTGTCTGTCTCTCTGTGTCTGTGTCTGTCTGTCTGTCTCTACCTGTCTGTCTCTCTGTGTCTGTCTCTCTGTGTCTGTCTCTCTACCTGTCTGTCTCTACCTGTCTGTCTCTACCTGTCTGTCTCTACCTGTCTGTCTCTCTGTGTCTGTCTCTCTGTGTCTGTCTCTCTCTGTCTGTCTCTACCTGTCTCTGTCTACCTGTCTGTCTCTCTGTGTCTGTCTCTCTGTGTCTGTCTCTACCTGTCTGTCTCTACCTCTCTGTCTCTACCTGTCTGTCTCTACCTGTCTGTCTCTCTGTGTCTCTAGGATCTGCAGCAGAGAGTCCAGCAGCACTCTGAGGTGGAGACAGTTGATCTGGTTCTGAAGCTGAAAGATAAACTGGTACAAACTCATCCGCTGCTATTACTAGTACTTCTACTTCTACTACTATTACTGCTGCGAGTATTACTACTAGTGCTCATATTTTCATTACTATTGCTAAGACCACAACTACTGCTGCTATATTTGTGATGTACTTTTTACGATTGTGTTTCAACATAAAAAAAAAGTTGATTAATATTTTAATATCATGTTGAACTAAAGCAGCTCCTACAACTACTGCTTCTAGTTAAACGGAGTACTGGTACTGGTACCAGTAACAGTACTATTAGTACGACAAAGTATTTTATCACTTTAGAGAAATAAAAATAAAAATTCCAAACAAAATTTCCAGAATAATAAGTATTTTATTCTGGTTAATACATTAGTCTACCAGTACTAATATACTACTACTACTATCTACTGCTGCAAGGACCACGCATATTAACTTGGAGCACTACTCGTACTGTTGTAACTATTGCTCGTACTAAACCTGAGTACTGATACAAGTACACTCCAGCTGCTACATGTACCAGTGATACTACTGGTGCTCTTCCTTTACCACTGCAGTCAAAGGACCATTCTAGTTTAATCCCAAATCTGCTGATCGTTAATATAAAATATGAGCTAATATGTGAGTGTCTGACTGTGGATTTAAAAGAATAACTAATATTGTGTCTGAACTTTCTCTCCTGCAGACTCAGGCGGAGAGGGAGCAGCTGCCGGTGCGTCCAGGGACTGTGGCCAAGCTGAGGGCCCACATAGAGGCCGTGATCCTGGCCTTACCAGAGGACCTGCAGGGCATCCTCCACAAGCCCTCCACTCCCTGACCCCCAGTCTGCAACTCTTACCCCAGTCTGAGCTTGTTTTAAAGTTTGGGGGGTAGTGGGTCTCCTCCCAGACTGGGCCCCAGTTTGAGGACCTCTTCTGGTTCTAACATGGGAAGCACACAGCACAATTTTTGTTCATCCAACTTCAGTTCTTCATTATTATTTTTTTACCCAAACGTCTCCGGTAGCAGCTCAGAGGGATTCAGACCGTCGCTCTCGTCTCGGTGATCATGTGACGACATAAACTCCTCCGAAGAGTTTTCAGGAGGTGAAACAGAATTGAAAGATTCTGAGGAGGTGTTGTGTTTTTTCCCGTCACAGAGACGTTATGAGGAAAGGAAAAGGAAGCGCTTGATTCGTCACAGCGTTGCTCTTTCGGCATGCCGCTCGGGTACAAGAGCTTCATCTGAGCCTTTGTGTGGCAGACGGACTCGTCTTCGCCTTGAAGGTAAGAGCAGGAAGAAGAACGCAGCTGACCTGTGACCCTCAGCTCTTTAGCCTCCTGATGTTTTTTAATCTTTACTTTGGCGATGGACTGCTGCTGTCCGGTGGAACTGACTTTGGAGGTTTTTTTTCACGTTTTTAAAAGAAGTGCACTTCATCACTAACTGGACCAGTGTGCCCTTCACATACACACACACACACACACACGTTTTTATGCAAACAAACTGAGCCGAGCAGAGCCAAGCAGTGCTTTATGATTAAATTGAACTGCTATACTAACTAATAAAACGCACAGAGAGCATTAAGCACCAGCGACCCTGTAATAACTGTCGATGCAGTAAACGACTCTTGTCTCTCGCGCTCATTAGCCAATCACGTCCCTGTATTCGTGTCACATGGGCTTTGTGTAGCCCATCGTAACAGCATGAGGGAAACATTCAAAATGTCCTGAAATGTTCAGAAATGTTGGTGTGAATCATTTTCTGAAGACTGAATCCAAAACCTGTGCGTCACTGATTTCCACCTGATTCTGAGCTTCTGTGAGACTCGAAGAAAATTACAAGAAAGTCCAAACTGTCCAAAAACCAGCGTGTTTTCAGGTGATTGGTGACCGACTGGTGGCTTGTGTGCGTTAAACAAACACTACAGCCAGCTCTGTTTTAACTCATCTTTTTTAAAAATGATGCCGGTGCCTTACAGGAAGGAGAACCAAGGACTCGATGAGTTCGTCTCAATCTGGTTCCTGTAAAGATAATAAGAGCGTCTTTCAGCTGCAGCTCAACGATTGTTCTCACACTAAACTAAACTTACTCCGCTGAAGAACAACAACTTCTGACGGCCATCGATCCTCCTGCTCAGGATCCTCAGTGTTGCCTTCAGACCCCAAAAAGAAATATGGCTGAAGTCTGTTTTTACGTGTTTTCTGATGAGCAAGTGAACGACACGGATGCATCGTTGAAACAAAACCGACAAAGTCACAGAGGAACTAAAAGGAATCTTCTAATAAAGGGTTAACTAGCACTGCATCAATCGGCGGCATGTTTTATCTCATTAACTGCAGATTGTCTTCAGACGATACATTTTTATATTGATTTATTGGTTTCTGGTCATTTCAGTGACGGCTTTGAGCTACATCGCCAGAATCAAGTCCTTCAAAAGAACAATAATGTGACTTTGATCATTTATTTAAATTGTTTAAACTGTTCCCGGCCACAAAAGATTAAATTGAAACTAAAAGCTTCTGACTTTATTTGAATTCACAAAAGAATTCTTGGACCCCAAAAAAAAAAATGCAAACAAAACGAACAAAACCATCTTTATTCAAAGCAATAACAGATCATTTAATTTATTCAGTTATTTGTATTTTCAGAGTTTTAAATGACAATAACTTTGTAGCGTTTTCTAAAAGTGTTGTTGGTGAAACATCTCAGAATATCACTCGTTTGAAAATGTCTTTTCAGACGCATGGATTGTGTTTTTGTTTGTTTCCTTGACGCCGTCGTGTAACACATGTTGTATGAATACTTTGTCCAGCAGATCGTTGTAAAGAAGAATAACTCAAATGTGTGCTGGTTGTTGGGCAACCATGTAAGTTTTATATTTGTAAAAATAACAACTTATTTTAACAATTTAACATTTTTTTAACGGAGGGCTGTTCTCACATTTCACTCTGTAGAGAATTAAGAGTTTTGTACATAATGGTGTAAAGTGAAATGACGGCCCAGATACGATGATGTACAATAATTATTTTGCTATTGCGACCGATGTCTAAATACAGAGATATAAATAAGAACAGCTCCATAGAATGCTTATTTATCTGTCCTAGAATAATGTTGTTGAGACAAGTTGACATTTTGAATTTGTAGTTTTTTTGCTGTCAAGACACTGAAACTGTTGCATTTTAACATTCATAAAATGTGACTATAATGTAATGAAGACGCCCAGAAAGCATTGATATTGGACAGAATCACGGATTATGATCTACAATGTCGGCTCATGTCAGCTAGGGAACGGTTTCGGTAAATTTAAGAATTAAAAACATGTTTATGCCAAAAACTTATGGCTGAGACTTTCTGTGTAGGAATACTAGTGTTGGATATCAAAATACACTCAAAGAAACTAAAATAACTGTGCTCAATATGCAGATCAGAAACATTTATATTATAATATGGAATCATAATTATTGATGAATGTGTGTATTTAAAGGTGGAGCTCATTTTAATTACTTTATTTACTGCTGAGTCCCCAGAAATCAATAAAGTTATTTTTTATCTTAATCTATAATAATACATCATTATTTATTTTTTGTATTATCAATCTGAATCTGCAAACTAAGTAAAGGTATTGAATAAATGTAGACGATTAAAAATAAATATGTTTCCCTCTGAATTGTAGTGTAATGTACCCCAGTAAAGTACCTTAAAATTGTACTTCAGTACAGTACTTGGGTAAATGTACTTAGTTAGTTTCCAGATAAAACGTTTGCCAGCTGTGAACCCAACAGCATAATCAAATATTCATAATAGATATATTATATATGTATATATAACATTAACATCAATAATAAGACACTACAAATTCAAAATGTCAACATCCGCTAATACAAGCTGCTTATGTTGCATCGCTACACACATTTAGCTGCATTGACGCTCACGATCTGTGTTTTTATTGAAGCCATGTAACCACTACTCTGAACCACGCCCACAGCCGGACGGACGACAGGTTTAACAAACAGTGTTGATCAGAAGCGTGTTCTTCACATGATGGCCGACAGGTTGTTTCTTTTGTTTGTAAGCCAATTAAAAGATAATTATGATAATTATTATCAGAGTTGTACGTTAACTTTATTGTGACTTGGAACCCTGACGTTGTTTGTTTGCTTCGACCGCGGTGGGTATTTTTGACATTAAACAGACGGCTTCAATTTTAGTCTATGTTCCTGTCTGTTTTTCAACATAGAACACTTTTTTGCCCCTTAAAAGTTGATTTGGAGTCTTGTTTGTGTCCACCGGATGAATGCGAGTCCAATATTCTCTCTCTTTTAGCTCCGCTTTTGGTCTCCACCTCCTGCTGAGGCAGATATCCGTCTCTTCAGCTGCTAAATGCTCCTCTATGTTCAACAGCTAGTTCCTCCGTCTGTCTGCTGTTTGCTGCTGACCAGGTAGTGTACCGTCTTTTTACAGATTTATCTCAGCCGAAAAACGATGCCATGGCCTCGAAGTGACCATGTTTGGACTGCAGAGGAGTCGCGTAGAGATGCTGTATACTGCTCTCGTAGCAACCCGTCAATCACAAGGTGAATGTCACCTTGATCAATATCGATGAACATCATGCTGTATTGAAGAAGACTTGAAACTAGAGATTGAGACCATAAACTCATGTTTACAATGTTTACTGAGGTAATAAATCAAGAGAGAAGTAGAGTCATTTTCTCATAGACTTCTATACATCCAGAGGAGTCGCCCCCTGCTGGTCAGTAGAGAGAATGCAGGTTTACAGTTTTAAGGTATACTTGTTTTTAACTACAGACATGTGACCACGTAGTCAAAAGCAACTATTTTGAAAACGTGTTATGAAAATATTGTTTTAAAATGCGTTTAGAGTATAGTCTGGGTATTAGAATAAGTTTAAGGAATATAATGTAGTAATTTAGTGTAATAAAATTTTAAAAAACTAATAACTGGTAAAATAAAAATAGTAATGAAGACTATTGTTGTATTCCAAATGCTGTAACAGACTCCATCGTATCATGAGACTCAAATTGAACCAGAAAGTGAGTGAACATGGATAATTATTTCAACCCCTGATGAGGACAAATATCCATCTTCTATATGAATAAACATGTTTCAAATGGTGAAATGTTCCTCGATGGCACAACGGGGTCTGACCGCCCAGCTGCTTCTTATATAAAATGTACAATCAGTAACGATATTGTGTCAGCCATCTCTTTATTGTTTTATAATGACGTGAAAAATGAAGGAACCAAATACATGTTATACGAGAACATCAAGTGAAGCGTGTCAGTTAAACTTGAAGAATAATCACACAGGGTTCGTTACTGAGACGAGTTTGTCAGAATAATGTCATCACGTACTTTAATAAAAAATCAGTAATCGGTAGTAGTTTGAATTTCATTCATGATTAATCGTTGCTTGATTGATTTTTGTGAATTCTTCGTTATCGAATGAAGAACAGAGGAACAGAGGTGTGTTTCATTAAAGCTGCTCACTCTTACTCTCCCAGACGTTGTAAAACGTCCTGGTCTTCCCTCCCTTTGGTCGACGCCCTTTCTTTCCCCTCCTGTTGCTGATTGGCTGTCTCCCCTGCAACTCAAAGGTGTCCTCCAATAGTGTTTGTCCTCTGGGGGAGTAGCTGATGTAGGACCAGGAGAGGGCGGAGCCTTGGTACGGCCTAAAAACAGCAAAACAAATAGTGGATTTATAACAAGTTTATAAAAAACATGAATATAATAATAACGATAAAATAACATCAACTACTACAACAACTATTAATATCGTTTCAAATTATTATAAATAATAATATATGACAGGACAATTAATGATAAAATAACGTTGTGGTTTTCAGTGCTGGTCCTATAGGTTCTCTGCAGATGGAGGCAGGTTCAATACTGCAGCAATAATGCGTCTGGTTTGAGCAAAAATTCACAGAGAGACGGCGACAGACAAAAATCTCTCTTCTTCATAGGGATCACATCCAATATGTGTTTCTATTTTCTGGCGATAACTGCTGCGCGCAGGTTCAACCAACCCTTTTATGTGTTCACTGTCCTCCATTTCCAATTTGCGCATTATATATATAGGTTCTTCACCTCCTGCCCTCCACCTGAATTCTGCGCGTCATAATAGTCAAAAACAAGCTGTATGGAGAACGCTCACATATTTCAAAACTGGACACACACACACACACTTACGCGTAGACGCCACTGGTCATGTAGTTGAAGACTTCTCTGTAGCTGAGAGGATAATCCCAAATCTGGATGTCTGTCAACTGACCGTCAAAACCTGAAAAATCCATCACAGGCTCACCTGACCAGACATACTGAACACACACACACACACACACACACAAATAGAAGACAGATAATATTAGAGACAATAATGAAGATTAAAGATGACTGCAGACAAAATTAATCAAGAGTTTGTCAGATATTATTATTGTCAAGTGATTTCTTATTGTAGTGAGACCTTAATGTACTCAATTTGATACATATGCAGTTATTTTGTGAATAACTGGCAGTGGAAATCAGGCTCTCCCCGCCTCCACAATTTTTAAGGTTTATAAAACAGAAACATGTAAATGTGCAATTTAATAAATTATACAAAACGCAAGCATATTTCTGATATTTCTGTCTTTGGGCCAAAAACAGATAAAGATGAAAAACAGCCCAAAGTTAAAACAAGACAAGGGGCTGCGTTGGGACGTGTTGTTTAACAGGGTGGGACTCCAGGACATCATCACGACACTTACAACTAAGTAGTATCGCGATAAAAATATATTGTGGTTCATTACCTTTTTTCAACTGCAAATTGTTTAATTTAATGAGATACAGTTTTCACTCACTTTATTGCAGTAAAATGGGTTTGTCTGTCCAGTAGACTGATATGTTGCATCGTGCACTTGACAAACTAAATTATTTTTATTACAGTCTACATTGTCCGATCACTCTGACTTTACCCATGAATGCACAAAAAACAAATTGGCACCATCAAAGGGGACTGAAAAATAAATTGTTGATCACTTATCATTACTGAAACTTGCATTCTCTCTAGTGTCCACCAGGGGGCGACTCCTCTGGTTGTATAGAAGTCTATGAGAAAATGACTCTACTTCTCTCTTGATTTATTACCTCAGTAAACATTGTAAACATGAGTTTATGGTCTCAATCTCTAGTTTCAAGTCTTCTTCAATACATCATGATGTTCATTTAGTACATTATGGTGCATTTAGAGTCAAGTAGACCATAAAGCAGGGCATGCTTTGGGGGGGGCTTACTGTGATTGACAGGTTGCTGTCAGAGCCGCATACGGCGTCTCTACCACGGCATCACCCCTCTGCAGTCCATATATGGTCACTTCCATTCACTAGTTGCAAAAAAACAAGATGGCGACCGCAAAAATGCCGTACTCGAGGCTTCAAAACTACAGTTCACAAACCAATGGGTGTGTGAGGAATTTAAGTTTAAAGCGCTCCTAGTGCTGGATATTATGTGTCACAGTGTGTTTACTTGTAGGAGTTTTAACCAAGGAGTGTAGTGTGAGGGGGTTGAGGAATGTGTTGGAAGCGGGGGGGTTGGAAGAAAGTGGCTGGGTGAGGTGTCTGATCAGAACAACAGGTCAAGTGTCAAGGAGGGGCTTATTGGATTTCAGCCAATCATTGAGCTGATCAATGGGCTAAGGAATGTGAAACATGACCCGTGCTTGAAACAAAGGACTGTGATTTTCCGGACATAGGGAGATCTTCTGCTGGCCATCAAGCAGGCATACCAGCCTGTTGGGTGGCTCGGATTGGATCTGATATTTCATGGAATATTATGTTATTAATAGTGTGATTCAGTTTGCAACTGTTTAGCTTCTGTAGTTATTAAATATCTTTTGATTTGATTATGACTCGAACCAGCTAGTTTTTGACTCTGCCTTGGAAGGACAACACAGCAGATGGCCGGCCTTTCTCTTTGTTCAAACCCTAACAGTGACGCCACGACGACTACCTCCACTTCTTATTTACAGTCTACGGGCTGAAGCTACAAAAATGCAAAACAAGTACATTTTGCTCCAGTATGTGCTGCTTTGTTCTCACCTGAAGGGGCAGCATCTTCCTGATGCTGATGTTTGAGCCACTAAACACCTGGGCCACATTCTTCATGGAGTCCAAAGTGAAGCAGACTCTGTTCCAGATGTCCGGTCCAATGTTTGGCCAGAACTTTATGTTAGGTTGAAAGTACAGGCTGTAGTATCTGTATCTTGTAAAGGTCAGCACATACGACCCAGCACCACCGACATCAAACTGCAAAGGGACTCTGCTGGATGGACTGAGTGTGAAGAGTGAGGAGACGCTTTCGGCCAGGTAACGCAGACACACAGACACACCTGCAGGAGTCACATGGGCAGTGTTGATTGACAAATTACGTTTTGTAAAACGAACAGTTGTTTGGTTGTTGTAATGCATTAAATAAAAAAGAAACAGACGAAAGTAAATAGTGCAGTCAATAGATATAGAACTACGTTTGGCAGATATGTTCTGTTATGTTTTGGCTTCATATTTAAATATAAATGTTTTATTGTTATGTTGATACAAAATGTTTCCTTCAGTTAGCTTTGATTAGCTTCCTGCCGACACAAAACAACCACAAACAGACAAAAATACACAAAAGGACTACAAAGACACGCAAAACAACCACAAAGAGACACAAAACAACTACAACAAGACAAAACAACCACAAAGAGACACAAAACAATGACAGAGACATGAAACATCAACTTAGATCTCTGGTGCTGATAACTTATGGCTGTAGCGGATAACCTGTATCTTTAAATACTTATAACAATGCTTGCTAATTGTCTAATTTCGTCTTTATACTTGCTCGACTTTAATCCTTATTTTGTCTTGCTGCATTTTGCTGGGAAAAAATCCATGAAAAAAATCTTGAATTATTCCCAAAAGTAAATGAATAAAGTTAAAGTTTTATGGTGATATTAGCCAGCCTTTTATTTTACAGGTTTTTGGGTCTGAAGGAAAGAATTAATTATTTTCTGTAAAAAAAAAAAAAAATAGAATTGAACCAGAATAAACTGACAGTATGACAAAAAAGTATAATAGTATAATAAATACAATGATTTAGTTAAATTACTCTTTAAGTCTATCTCCCCCCTGTGGTCAGAAATCACTTAATGCAGCTTCAATCTGCTAAACGTAATGAAGAACATCCTCAACAAACAAGCATGTAAATGAGTTAATTTAATACCACCACTTCTTATCTGGAGAACACGAGAGCAAACCTGTCCGTTA